AATATAAATATTGTTATGTATATAGGTACTATATAATATAATATTCACCGGACTTTTTTATCTCGGACTTTTTTGGCTTAGGACTTTTACGGCGGACTTTTTATGCCTCGGACTTTTTACCGCGATTCGAGAAACACTGATATAGACAACAAATGTTGGTGTAACGTCCACTTAAGTATTTATAGTATACCTTCATAAAATATTATTAAAAATCAACAATTTTTTAGTTTACTATTGATAGTTTAATATTGATAATATCTACTTAAATGATGTACAATTTTCATCTTTGTATTCTCTAATATTATACTGTCAAAATAAAATATGGTGTTTGATAAATTATTTTATTATTTTTATCAAACTCCATATACTTTTGACCGTATAAATTGAAATTTATTGTATGCATGAATTTTTTATAATATTAGAGAATACAAACATGAACATTTTACATAATTTAAGTAGATATGTAAATAGAATTTATCAATAGTAAACTAAAAAACAATTGATTTTTATTTTAGTGTAATGTAATGTAAAATTATTAGCCTTTACTCAGTAGGTAACTATACTATTGGTTTATTGTTATATTTCAGGTATCCTGGTGTTATCAGGAAACATCTTCAAGAAGCGAATAACACTTGTATATTGTATATTAAAAAGCTAGAATACATTAAGACTGAAAAATCAATGAAGCTGAATATGTATTGTAAACATGGTGGCTGTAAGAAGTTCAAACTATACATTTTGCCTACTGGTGTAGAAGCAGTTGTTAAAGTTTACAGTACAAGTAAAAACTTTAATCATAAACCAGATGTAAAAATAATAATAATAATATTATAATATAAATATAATAATAATATTAAAACGTAAAAAAAAAAATTTACAAAATTTATTTTATAGATTTTTGTATAAATGATTTAATTTTACATGTCAATTCAAGATGGTTTTAATTGTATCTTAGTAGGTACAGTAAAACTTCCTTAAAACGGACTCCCCATAAGACGGAAATCTCCCTAAAAGAAAATAACAACGTCCTTGAATAACTTATCGCGTATATTTTAGCCTCCCTATAACGGAAAAATTTGTCAGCCCAAGCGAGTCCTTTATAGAGAGGTTTTACTGTACCTACTTTGAATGTATAAAAGTATATTATATATAGGTACATTCAAAGTTTTAAAAAATACAAATATATCAGAAATTTTTAATTACATTTTAATGTATTTATTTTTTCCAGACTTTCAAAAATTTGTTTAGCAGACAACATATTGTTCTCAAACATGAAGTAAAAAATATACAAGATCGTCTTGATATTATTATGTGTATGCAAGAAAAAATTAATGAAAGATTACAAGGATGTGTACCTGCCGATATTACCGAAGATTCATTTGATAACACTATAACTCGTGTGGATACTGCGACTGATTTAAATGATCTCGAAGACAAATTATTAAACGATACAACATATAAAAAAAATTGGTATTAATAGCAAATTACATTACTTTCAAATTATATAAGATTATAATTACTGAATTTTATTTTGTATGTAGATTAAAGAACTAGCTCGTTACAGAGGACAGAATTTGTCTGAAACTATAAGATAAATTATGCAAACATTATTCACTGATAATTTTCTAACTAACTACTCCTACATAGGATTCAAAGGAAAAGAAAATTTTTCTACACTCCAAACTTGCTCCGTGATATTTGGTAAATATTTTTAATGCAATTTTAATCAATTTAATACTCCATACATAATAACTATCTACATAGTTATTATTAGTCATTTATAAAAGTTAAACAATTTTTTATTTATACAATTTTGGTAATGAACTTTTCCGCTCATGTCTTAATAGATATACAGACTTTTCACTCACTTGCCTTTCTCACTATTTTTATTGTAGCTCACTATTTAAGCAAATTACTTAATACTCATTATTATCACTTTTTAGATTTTTTCAGTGCAATGATTAAAATCATTGAAATTTATATAAAACTTCATAACACAAGTTTTAAGTAGAAAAAAAAAGGCTCGAATCTTTGATTTTGATGGAGGTTTTTGTTAACAAATTAGAAGTTTTTACTTTAGGGAATCAATAGTAAAAATTTCCAATTACTTATTAAAATGATTAGCAAACCGATTCATATTAAATGTTATAACTTATAAACATCATTATATAAATACTATTATCACCAGTATTGTAAAAATAACTTAAAAACTATATTTTGTCAAATTTTAAAAATTTTGGTTGTCAATTAGGTACAAAATTATTAATAATACATATATTTTTTATAAAACTTTTGCTATTTACAAATATTAGTTAAGCTTTGAGGGTATTGACAACTAAATTCAAATTATTTGCAAAGTTGAGATAAAATGAATATTTAGTATAATATAGAAGGTAAATATATATACATATAGGTTGTTTAAACAATAATAAATTGTTTTTATACCTTATTATTTCTTAACTAACAATATTTAATATTTATAATTATTAACTATAATTACAAGTATATTTAAATTTAAAACAATTACCAAAATGATCACATTTCAGAAATTAAAGTTTTATTATTTAACATTAATTAAAATTATTATGTATCAATTCCAATCATATAAATGTTTCTTCAAGATTAGTACCTATCACTCATATTATCAGCAGCAGATAATATATTATTATAAAGATTTTAGTAGTTGTGGTTAAATTTAACAAAAATACGAAATATGTTTAGTAAATATATAATATATGTTATGTAAAGTATATAATATGTTTAAAAGTAGAAAAATGTATTCAATATACATTAATATATAGGTAGGTACCTAGTATTTAAACGTCTCAAATACTTATTGATAGATGGTTGAGAGAATACGGAGCTTTCTAGGGCTCCATAAACCACCCACGACAAAAGGGGAACACTTTTGTCGCGACCTGTGAGCCGCACCGCGTGATGACCCAAGGGCTAAGTCGGTGGAGCTCACAGGCTTTGAACACGCAACGGCAAGTGAATGCCGAGGATTTATTGAAGGGGAAAATAATATAGAATAATAGAAAAGTTTTAGGGTAATCACGTGGATATATTAAATTGGCATTACAAGGGGAAATTGAAATTTAAACATTATAAAGATTAAGAATAATATAACAATGATCTAGTAATTTTGGCGCACGGCAAATGCAAACAATATAATTTGGTGGCACATGGCATATGCAAACAATATAATTTAACTTTGGTCGCATGCTTTCCCGGCCCGCCGGAGGCGACACACCATATTACTCATGGTGTGTCCTCGCAGGGTTACCGGGAAATCGTGCCGGGAAAGGGGGGACAGGGGAAATAAAAACATATTACGACATTTGGTATTTTGATGTGACGAGCTGCGTGGTTGATGTTGTAAGCTGGAGCAGTTGTGGCCGCTGCCCGGGCCCTCGTGGTTCTCTCAGCCCATCATGGTGAGCGATCGCAGGTGTCCCAGTATGTTGACGGTAGTTGAAAACGATTCTCGGGAGTGGGTTGTTTGCCGATCAACTCGGTTGCCTCGTGGTTCTCTCAGCCCATCATGGTGAGCGATCGCAGGTGTCCCAGTATGTTGACGGTAGTTGAAAACGATTCTCGGGAGTGGGTTGTTTGCCGATCAACTCGGTTGCCTCGTGGTCTGCAGGTCGTTTTACAAAGACGAGTGTATGAAGTCGACCGGGCAGGTGTGGAGACGTTAACCAGGCGTCCAGGCAGGTGAAAGGCCGTAAAAAGAGTGAGTTTGCTGACACGGAAACCCGGCGACGACGGTGGCTTGTTGCCGGCGGCGGAGCTTTTCTTTTCGTTGGTGGGGCAGATCAGTGTCGTCATTGTGTGGGAATGTACAATATGTTTGGGTCGTTCAGGACTGTTCTGCCGGTGCGGTGCCGTCGGACGCGACAAAAGCGCCGACAGCAACGGCGGCCGTGTGTGGCGACATGAGGACACCGTGCACTGCGGGTTTGTGGGGGCCGGGGAACAATAATTACATAATACTGCGGTCATTTCTGCAATAGCGCGCGATAATCGTAATAATTTATCAATAAGGTACGCTCATTAGTGGCAATATGGGTACAGGTATGTTTGTTATTGTAATAATATGAATGCAAAAAATGCTGTGACGTTACAGAACCCCCCCAACAAATTGTTGAAGGTGTCTGCAAGAATACCTGAGAACCATTTGTTGTAGAGTAAGAGGGCAGAATTTTTTGGGAATGACCATAGACTAGCAATTAGAGGGAATTTAACATTTGAATTAGGGACATCATAATAATAATCGAATAATAATACAACTTGTTTGACCAAGTGGTCAGGAATATAAAGGGACCAATGGGTGTTAGCTTTGGTTGTTCGAATAAATAAAGTGTCTTTTTTCAAAGTATAATATTGCTTCCAGACTGGTGGGTGATTTGATTTTAATTTAATAATGATATTTTTTAAGCGGGGGTCTTTTTGTTGTTCAGATGAGATATTGTTAAATATTGAAATAATGTCGGGAGGAATAGGTGGGGGGAGAGTATAATGTAGAATACTGGGGGAGTCTTTGGGTGGTTGATCGTCGCGACCAAGGGGGTGTCTTGACAGGGTATCTATGGGATTGTCTTTCCCAGGACAGTGAATAATTTTGAGATCAAACTCTTGGAGTGCAAGAGTCCAACGGGTGAGACGGGAGTTTTTTAATTTGCAAGAGAAGAGAAATGTTAAAGCTTTATGGTCAGTATATAAATTAATTGGGTGGCCGAGAATATAAATTTTGAATTTCTGACAGGCAAACAGAATACCTAGCAGCTCTAGTTCAGTCACTGTGTAGTTCCTTTCGGCACCACACAGTGACCTACTTGCGAACGACAGGGTATCGCGTTGGCCCGCAGCGTTAATTTGGAAAAGTTCTGCTCCAAGTCCTATGTACGAGGCATCGGTTTGGATACAGAAGGGAATATTAAAATCGGGGTGAGTTAATGATATTTGAAGGGAGAAAGCAGTTTTTATTTTTTGGAAAGCTATTTTATCTTGTTCGGTGAATATCCAGGGGGTGTCTTTACAAATGAGATGAGAAAGGGGGTGTAAGAGAGAAGAATGATTTTGTGAGAATTTACGATAGAAGTTACAGAAGCCGAAAAACGATTGGAGATCTTTTTATTACGAGGTTCGGGAAAATTTTGAAGGGCGTTAACTTTGTCGGGGTCCATGATCATACCGGTAGGGGATATAAAGTGACCGAGAAATTTAATTTGTTTTTTATTGAAGTGACATTTTTTAAATTTTAGAGTGAGGCCTGCTAGAGAGATTTTGTGAAAAATCCACTCTAGAGTCTCAAGGTGTGTTTCGAAAGAAGGGGAGGATACTAATATGTCGTCGACGTAGGTATGAATGTCATTAGGGGAGGGACAGGGGCTAGTATAATTATTTAGGGCGGCTTCTAATCCTTTCCCAAAGGCTGCATTGGAAATATTTAACCCAAAAGGCACTACACAAAATTGGTAGGACCTTCCGTCGTAGAGGAAACTGGTGTACTGACGAACCGAGGGGTCGAGTGGGATTTGCCAATAGCCAGAGGAAAAATCAAGAGAAGAGAAAAAGGATTTATTATTAAATTTTGCTAGGATATCATCGATTGGGGGGGAAGCGTCTCGAGTGGGGAGAATAATAGTATTTAATTTACGAGCGTCCAAGCACAAACGTAGTGTGCCGTCAGCTTTTATTACAGTAACAAGGGGATTATTGTACGGGGAATCTGATCTTTCGATAACCCCCCACTTAATCATCTTGTCAATTTCTTTTTGTACGGCGGGACGACGAGAGAAGGGTACAGGGTACGGTTTAATTTTATAGGGGTCATGAGGTTTAATATTAAATTTATAAGAGAAGAAAGTGTGAAGGCCGGGTTTGTCTTTGAAAATGTGATCATATTTTTGAAGGAGGGAGGTCATTAATTTGTGTTGAGAATCATTAAGGGGAATGTCATTAAGGGCAATATTTTTTTCTGTTTCGAATGGATAGGTTTGATTTATTAAGTGAGAAGGACCTTCGTACATGGTGAAAGGATCATTAGTGACAATAATATTTTTTAACGAATTAACTAAGCTATTTGGATCATTATCTTGAATTAATTTAAAGGGGATGTTATCTTTGATAGAGGGGAGGGAGATTTCCTTGCTATTGTAGTCTATGGTCACCCCGTTTTCAAGTAACCAGTCGGTACCTAGAATCAAGGGTGTAGACAATTGGGGAACAACTAGAAATATACCGTGTGTTTTATAATTTTGAACATAAAAATTTAAATAGATTTGAGATTTTACTTTAATTGTTTTGTGACTGAGTGCCGTGGTCAAGAGAATGCCTGTGAGGGGAAAGAGGGGAATTGCGTTTGGGTCAGAATTTTGATTTAATATTTTAAAAAGGTCTTCAGAGATAGCAGAGACAGTTGCGCCAGAATCTAAGAGAGCATTGTGAGATTTATTAAAGAGAGTGATGGGAATTTCGGGGCGGTAATTTGGAGGAGGTGTTTGTTCGAAATCGGGGAGAGAAGCTAGTGGGTGGGTGAGTATTGATATATTATGAGGATTGATATTAGAAGAGGACACAGTGCACATCCTCGCGGGCATGGTCAGACCTAGTTTTCCGGAGGAGGGGTAGTGGTAGGGGGAGTTGGGGCGGATTGATTTTGAGAATTATATTGAGGGCGTTGATAGTTATTTTGACGAGGAGAATATCTGTTTTGTTGATTGGGGCCAGAAGAATTGTTAAATGAATTTCGGTTTTGATTTTGATAAGAGGGTGCATTTTGACTATTTTGATTTTGATAAGAGGGTGCATTTTGACTATTTTGATTATTTGGAGGGGAATGAGCTTGCTGAATGTGGGAGAGTTGTTGAACGAGTTCATTAGTGGTGGTGATACGGAGACCTCTGAGGGCAATGGAAATGTTAAAGGTGAAGTGGGAAGTGATCTGATCAACCATCTCGGCCTGATCGATTGGTGGTTGCAAGAACCGGGCCTTGCTGATCCAATCCATCGCGTGCTTCTGCAGAGATGTTGAGTCTCTGTGGAAGTAGGGGCGATAGAGTTCGTTGCGGATCGCGCGCTGTTGATTGGGTGACCAGAACTGATTACGGAACAATACTAAGAAATCTTGATAATTTGTTGGGGGGGGAAGTAGAGTGGTATACCAGAGACGGGCACCTTCGACGAATTTAGACTTTATATAATTAATTTTGACATTATCGGGGACTGGGGGCTGGGTGAGAAAATATTGTTCGGCCTGTTCAATGAACTCCTCAGGGTGAACTGGAATGAGTTGACCATCATAGGGGGGAAGCTTTGCAGAATCGAGGCTAATGCCAGTGCTGTTGGAAAGGGTGGTATTATTTATTGTGGACGTGGTTTGGTTAGGAAATGATATATTGTAATTAGGGGCGGAAAAACTAGAAGTATTTGAAGGGATAGCGGATTGTGTTGGAATAGGATGAGCGACGGTAGTGGAAGTTAAGATACTATTAAAGGAAACTTGAGGCATTGACTGTGAACAGGTTATTGGGGGGGAAACTAGAGGGACAGAATTTTGAAATTTATTTTCCAGAGCAGCTAGCCTGGCACTTTGACCTTCGACAAGGCTGATCCTATCTCCGAGGGCTCTGATGGTGTCACTAAGCGCGCGTTGGGAATTGATTGCACATTTTTGGGATTCTTGGGTCCGCTGTTGTTGTTGGGAATTTTCGTTTTGTATGGCAATGAGATCTTTGTTGACTGAGGATTGAAATTGTGTGAACTTAACGTTGACTTCAGAGTCATTGTCATCGATTCTAAGACATAGTTCATCCAGGCGCGCGTCGAGTTCACCGAACTTCCGGGAGACATTATCGAGCTGAGAGTTGAACGCATCAGACATGTTGGATATTAACTGGGCCAACGACTCTAAAGAGAGGGAGGGGTTTCCTACTAGGGATTGATTTGCATCTTCAGTACCTGACATGGTGATATCAAAATCAGTGGCAGGAAGTATGGGGGAGGGGTAATAATTGGAGGGATTGAACCTATCAGGCTGTTTGGTCCGGCGTTGACCAGCACTATGCATGGATCAGTCACGAATAAACACCAGAGTTTAAGAACCAGCTAGCTTAGTGGGCAGAGCAAAAAAAAAAAAAATATTTATAATAATTAAAGTAATAGAATAGGGAAATGTTTTAAAATATTTTATAATGATAATTTTTTTTTTTTTTTAAAGTAGTTTAATAGTTAACAGAACCTTTTAGGAGATTGAATTAATAAGATAATATAATGATAAATAAAATATCAAGAAACCAAAGTAAAGGTGACTTAATAAAACAATAATAAATTTTTTTTTTTTTAAATAATATTAATTTAAATAGTGTAATAGTAATAGGGGAAAATATTGGAAAATATTAAATAGTTATATTAAAGTAATTATAAAATGAAAAATTGTTGCTAAACAATAAAGTGGAGAACTGGTCCAAGTATTAAAATAATACTATACAATAAACCTCCTTATGCGTAGCACCAATTCATAAACAAAATAAGAATAGAATAGTAATAATAATAAGTGATAATTAATTTAAGTGTGACCACAGTAACAGTGAAATAATAAAAGTACTAATAAGAGAATATTTAAATAGTGGTACACTAAGCGTACCAGAAAGAGTAATTTAATAATAATAATAAAAATGTAATATAGATTGTTATACTACAAGGTAAATAATATAGGGGAAAATCAATTTTAATTTAACAAAATAATAATTAATTATAACAGGTTATACTAAAGGAAATATGATATTTTAATATAAAAGTTGACTAAATGTCCTAAGACAGATAATAATACTAAGTTTAATATGAAGATAATAACTTTGAGATAGTCAAAAAGAAATAGATTTAATTTATAATTTATAATATGTAATATAATGGGGCCCTAAGCAGGACACACTACCTAGCCTTCAAGCTACCTAGCAGCACATCAGTCGTTATATAGTCGTATAGTAAAATTTATATTAAGGGAAACATTTTATAACAAGGGAAACATAATAATACTAATGGTTTTAAATAATAGGGGAAATGGTGAATATTTTAAATAAACTAGTTATGGGGACACAGCTTGCAAGAGAATAATAGTTTTAAATTTTAAAGTTAACAGTTTGAATAATGAGTTTGATTACTTTTACAAGAATGAGTGAATATTTAATATTTTACTAATGTTTTTTAATATAATTGTTAATATTTGATTTAATAAGCATTAAGTTTTTTGATATCCTATAATTTACTTTTCTTACAGTATTTGTAGTTGAAAATGAGAATAAAAATGTATTTTGAGTTATAATATAATAATTTTTGTTGTGTACCAAGGTATAATATTTAATTTTCTACATTTGAAATAATAATAATTTTAATAAGCTAATGAGCATAATAACATTGACAATCCGCAGATTTTAATATAATATAATAAATTTGACCATGAGGTTTTTACAAGAATATGAGTTATAATAATATAAAGTTGACCATGTGGTCTGGGGAAAAACAAGAGTTATCGCGCGTTCCTACAGAAATGAACCTAGCAGTGTTATGTGAGGGAGGAAAAAACGGGTCTTAGGGAGCATAATTAAGGGGGGAACAATAGGGGAAAATATAAAAGACATACCAAGGGGAAAAGACGGGTCGTATGCAGTGTCCGGTTCCTAGTCGCCGCAGCTGTCAGGCCAAATCCGTCACTTGTCAAACGCCTCTGCCGCATCCTCAGCCAGCACGCACACACCGAGCAGGAACAATTTCTGAAATAATTACTGGATAACAACTTTTCAGCAGGGGGGACATAAAAAGAGAATAATAATAATGTTACCTTGGTAGGTGTTGCATCATTCTGCATATTAATTTTACAATATATTTTTTTTTCCTACCATAGGTAAATGAGAATAATAATATGACTGTAAAGGTAATTTTAATGTAATAATAATATTGAGAGATCTCTTGCAAGAGTATAAAATTTTCGTCATATTAAAATAATTTAATTTAATAAAAATATGGGATTTTTGGGGAGTAGCACGAGTAGGGAGTTTGGGCGGTTCGATTTTAAGAGTTATTAATGTTAAGAAGTGAAAAGTTTTAAAGATGAAAATGGATAATTTATTTTTTGCCATGTGCTTGCCAGAAAGAAAAATTTATATGTTTTAGACCTAACTTTATTTGCCATAGAAAGAAGAGATTTTAATATTTTAAATTTTGATAGCGTGGTTTTTAATTTTAAGAGTGATTTTAGAGAAAAGAGAAAAAAAAAAAAAATATTATTAATTACAAAGGGGATTGGGACATGAGTCCTGTCACGGTCGCCATATGAGAGAATACGGAGCTTTCTAGGGCTCCATAAACCACCCACGACAAAAGGGGAACACTTTTGTCGCGACCTGTGAGCCGCACCGCGTGATGACCCAAGGGCTAAGTCGGTGGAGCTCACAGGCTTTGAACACGCAACGGCAAGTGAATGCCGAGGATTTATTGAAGGGGAAAATAATATAGAATAATAGAAAAGTTTTAGGGTAATCACGTGGATATATTAAATTGGCATTACAAGGGGAAATTGAAATTTAAACATTATAAAGATTAAGAATAATATAACAATGATCTAGTAATTTTGGCGCACGGCAAATGCAAACAATATAATTTGGTGGCACATGGCATATGCAAACAATATAATTTAACTTTGGTCGCATGCTTTCCCGGCCCGCCGGAGGCGACACACCATATTACTCATGGTGTGTCCTCGCAGGGTTACCGGGAAATCGTGCCGGGAAAGGGGGGACAGGGGAAATAAAAACATATTACGACATTTGGTATTTTGATGTGACGAGCTGCGTGGTTGATGTTGTAAGCTGGAGCAGTTGTGGCCGCTGCCCGGGCCCTCGTGGTTCTCTCAGCCCATCATGGTGAGCGATCGCAGGTGTCCCAGTATGTTGACGGTAGTTGAAAACGATTCTCGGGAGTGGGTTACTGGGTTGTTTGCCGATCAACTCGGTTGCCTCGTGGTTCTCTCAGCCCATCATGGTGAGCGATCGCAGGTGTCCCAGTATGTTGACGGTAGTTGAAAACGATTCTCGGGAGTGGGTTGTTTGCCGATCAACTCGGTTGCCTCGTGGTCTGCAGGTCGTTTTACAAAGACGAGTGTATGAAGTCGACCGGGCAGGTGTGGAGACGTTAACCAGGCGTCCAGGCAGGTGAAAGGCCGTAAAAAGAGTGAGTTTGCTGACACGGAAACCCGGCGACGACGGTGGCTTGTTGCCGGCGGCGGAGCTTTTCTTTTCGTTGGTGGGGCAGATCAGTGTCGTCATTGTGTGGGAATGTACAATATGTTTGGGTCGTTCAGGACTGTTCTGCCGGTGCGGTGCCGTCGGACGCGACAAAAGCGCCGACAGCAACGGCGGCCGTGTGTGGCGACATGAGGACACCGTGCACTGCGGGTTTGTGGGGGCCGGGGAACAATAATTACATAATACTGCGGTCATTTCTGCAATAGCGCGCGATAATCGTAATAATTTATCAATAAGGTACGCTCATTAGTGGCAATATGGGTACAGGTATGTTTGTTATTGTAATAATATGAATGCAAAAAATGCTGTGACGTTACATGGTATAGGTATTTAAGCCTGTAAATGGATTAATAAATATAGATATACGGTCAATGAAAAATAACAAATGATTTGTTTTTTGTTTGTTTAGAAACTATTCGCCAAATGAAACCATTTTCTTCACAAAATCTCCCTAACATTGAAATAGAAAAACCATTAAAAAATTGGATGGCACAAGCTTCTAATAGAATCAAAAAATTATCAGCTAAAAATCCTCAACAAGATTCACAATAAAATTTATCCATGGTTTATTTAACTAAGTATTATTTTATGTTATTATTACTAAATGATTATTATTATCAATATATAATATGTCGTGTAAATTATGTTATTATTCTATTATATTCTTCAGTATTATATAATAAAATATTATATTATGTTTAAGTAAGAAACATCAGTATAATTTTATTTTACTTTATATAATTTATATTATTATATATTATTTATAATTATTTTAAAATATCAATGAAAAACAGTATTATAATTTATTTTTTACTTTTGTACACAGCTACTTTTAGTAGTTTTCTGTTTTATTATATTACTTTATGTATAATATTATGTTCTTTTGATAATATAACTTTTTATAATAAAACTTTTGTCTATCTGTGTTTATTTATTAATAAAAAGAAATGTTTTCAGTTACCTACTGCATTACATATACATAATATAGGCATTATTAAATATAACATTTTTATATTTTAATTAATTATTAATCTATTATATTATGACCTATAATATAATTTAAATATGATTTATTTTGTTTCTGAATATATTTACTAGGAAATAGGAATATGTATTATGTAAAACATTTTTTTTCTAAGATTGATAGTAATTTTTGTCTTTTTGATTGACTCTCATTTTAACAATTGTGAATTAATAAATATTAACATATTGTTAAACATGTCACTGAATTAAATGGTTAAACAAGTAGGTATACCAAATATTCGGTTTAATATAAATATACAAAATTGTTAATAATGTTCTCAAATATGTTTTGAAAATATAGCACTGAACATCGCAACTATATGTTACTTAAAATATATTCACAATGATAACAGTAAAACATTGTTACAAACCATTATCAAAATATGTTGACAAAATTAAAACCCCATATTGTTAAAAAATGGTCTTTAAGAGGACGTGTCACCCAAAAAAATCACTCGAAAAATTCCTTTAAAAACATGTTTGCGCGTTCCAATAATATGGGTTACTGAGTGGTTTTATCATAAAAACACCTATGAACAAAATTGTAGAGGAGAATTTTATCTGGTTCCGTAAGAAGCCCGATTTCTGAAATTTTCATTTCTAAGTCCTAAAATTAACTTCCGGAAAATGAAAAAAAAGTGTATTATTAATCATGATATATTTCATGATGTTTTAAAGATATCAAAAATCAGGCTTCTCACGGAACCAGATAAAATTCTCCTCTACAATTTTGTTCATAGGTGTTTTTACGATTAAACCACTCAGTAACCCATATTATTGGAACGCGCAAAGTATGTTTTATAAGAAAACTGCAGAAAATTACGGTCGGCAAGTGCTGCGCCCGTAGTCAGTGGCAGCGTTCGATACTAGCTGTGCATACCACCACCCCGCGCGCATTAACGGCGGTACCGCACCATGGTCAAAACAGGTTCTCTATCGCAGCCGACCGCCCGTGCATAGTTTATAAATAACCAGATAAGAAAATGATTATTATATTTGTGACAAATAATATTTAATTTGGTTCGATTTTATATTTTGTATTCGTATCCGAATTTTATACAAATAAAAACTATACTTTGTTCTTCAAGTAGGTAATAGTGTAATACGGCTTATTGAAGCGGTTTGCAATAAAAATACCTATTATAAAAATTGTAGAGGAGAATTTTTTTAACAATCGTAAGGAATCCGATTTTTGATATCGTATTCCAATCGTCCAATATCGCATGATAAATTAACAATTTTTTTTTTTTACTTTTTATCGATTAATTATTTAACTCATTAATAAAAATATAAAAAATCGGGCTTATTTCGATTATTAAAAAAATTCTTCTCTCCAACTTTTATAATAGGTATTTTTACTGTAAACTGCTTCAATAAGCCGTATTACTTGAATTACGAAACCATATTTTGTTCACTAGGCCAAACTCTTCTTATCCGAATTTTATACAAATAAAAACTACTTTTGTTCTTCAATTAATACGGCTTATTGAAGAGGTTTACAGTAAAAATACCTATTATAAAAGTGGTAGAGGAGAATTTTTTTAACAATCGTAATAAATCCGATTTTTGATATCGTATTCCAATCGTCCAATATCGCATGGTAAATTAACATTTTTTTTTTTTACTTTTTATCGATTAATTATTTAACTTATTAATGAAAATATAAAAAATCAAGCTTATTTCAATTGTTGAAAAAATTCTTCTCTAAAACTTTTATAATAGGTAGTTTTGCTGTAAACTATTTAAATAGGCCGTATTACTTGAATTATCGAACAATTTGGGTATGATAAAAAAAAGAAATAGGTAGGTACTCAAAAAACCATTTATAACAATTAACAGAAATCATTCAATGTAGACAATCTAAGCCACAACCAGGTAAAGTGGTACATATTATAAATTGAATATAATTTGCGAAAGGATATTTTAAATAGTCCATACCATATATTTGGCAAACACCAGTGGCGTATTTACGGGGGGGGGTCCATGGGGTCCGGACCCCTCCCATTGACCCGTGTCTCGTACATATTAAATGTTGTGCAGTTTCTACATGATTAAAAAACAAATTTTATCATACGATTTTACGGATTGTATAAAAAATTTTCGAAGCTATAGTTATATCAACATTTTCAATAAATATCGTGATTATTTTTATCAGTTGGGTACCGAAAATGGTTGAAAAATACCAAATTCATTTTTTAATTCAAATATTTTGTAGTTTTGTACATTATTGCCAGTATCTACAACCACCCCGAGAGATCTTTTTCAAACTTTTTAAGGTTGAAAAGCTATCTAAGATCAACTATGAATGAAGTAGGTACCTAATGTACCAAATTAAGGAAATATTTATATAAAAGTTATAAGTTATAACTATATATTTGATTCTGAGGGATCTATTGGTTCTACAATGGTGTTTATTTTTTTCCTGTATACAAAATTTCTTCCAGAAGGAGTGCTTCGATTTCAACATGTATTTGACAATATGTATTTTGACATATGGTAACTTATCTTTTAGAAAATTGGATCAAGATAGTACTTTAGAGAGGTCATTTTTCGATTTTCTCAATAGTTACTTAATGCCACTGTAAAAACCACCAAAAAATTACGAAAAACCGCTAAAAATGGGATTTTAATTTCTAACACTTTGTCTATCACCATAGAAAAAAATAAAAAATAAAAGTATTTCATTATTAATTCAACTTACAGGCTATAATAAATAATAACAATATAAAATATCCAGACTGACAAACCGTCTTCGCTCAGAATCGTTTTTCTTATACAATGATATTATGATATTATATCATTGAGTTCAAGTTTAATACAATCCATTATACATTGACCCACTTGTAACCTACTGTACAGCAGCAGAGTGACATCCACTCACCCGCTTTTTTTTTAAATTTGTTTTGTACATATTATTATTTAATAATTAAAAACTCGACAATTTTATATCGTCTTATAAATATGGTATATTTTATTTAATAAAGAGTAAATGGGTGGTGTGGGGGGGCTTCGTCCCCCGTGGCTCTGTGTTCTGAAAATTATCTGGACCTTCCCCATGACAAATTCCTAAATACGCCACTGGCAAACACTCTAATTGTGCCCGATATTTTTGCACTGGAAGAAAGTTATACGAACTGAATTTGATCGACGAAGTAATGCAAAGTGGTTTGATGAAAGAAATGACAACTGCACTTAGACGTGTTGCTGATAATGCAAAAAGTTTATTACTTTATGTTGATAACAACATCTGCGAACAGTTTAATAGTGTCATTAATAAGCACATAGGCGGTAAACGAATTAATTTTTCTCAAAAACAGTCGTACACCACTAGAATATATACTGCTGTACTGCTGTAGTATCATTTAATACAGGTGGCAATTATATACGAGAGCTTCACAAAAAGATAACAACCAAAAGTCCAGGTACATTATTTAAAAAGTACCTACAGTGAGTTTAATTAATTAATTTTAATTTTATAATATTATTATGGCATGAATTAGAATTTAATTGAAATTTTGAGTTTTTTACAACAACGCTTTCAAATTAAAATTAAATAAATACTACCAAAACTTATATTTCACATTTCACATTTTTATATTTTGGTATATCGTATTAGCTATGAGTAAATTAAAAATTGAAATAATTTGTATATTAAAGGTGTATAGGCACAATAATAAAATAAATAAAATATTTCATTATGAATTATTTTTCAGTATTTATAATGTATGAATAGTATTAATTTATTATTATTATTATTATGTGGGTAATTGTTTTAATATTATTATATGTGTATAGGAATCATAGCCAAAATTTTTTTGAAGCATACGCAGGGCCGGTTTTAAGGGGCGGCAAAATTATCTCAGATAAAATAAACAAAAAATTAATTTTTTATGTAAAGAGAAAGATTTCTAAAAAATGATACATTTTATTACTATTTATTTTTTAAATTCACATATGCATACGTTTTTTTTACCTATATTTTATAATTTTAAATAAAG